TTTTAATACAAATAATTTTTGGATTAATGCCCCAGGCTCCTTTCAGAGTTCAGAGTAGAGTACTCCCTACGAGCATCTCTGCCCTTCATAAAATGACTTGGTATTTAATTTTGCTGGAGTCAGAGTTGGCCTACTAAAATTATCAGGAGTTGGAGTCGAGTGTTTTTTACTGACTCCACAGCCCTGGTTTTTATTACACAAAATTTTATAATACAGTGATTTTTAGGAACATACTCATTATGGTTTATAAAAGAAATGTCTGTACATCAAAATTTGATGTATTTGAGAAAAGGTTAACTTTTAATTAGCTTATGAAAATAAAATTGTAAAAGATTTGAAACTGATTTTTATTGGAAACTTTTTACTTACACAGTGCACCAAATAAGTAATGAGACAACTAGCATTACATCCAAACTAAGAGCTTTATTTCAATTTTGCAGTTACATGGATTCAAAATAATCCCCTTGCACCTCCACACAACATTTACATTGATCATACAAGTTGTTGAAAGAATGCTGGAAGTCCTGATTGTATACCTCCTTCAGCCTGTTGGTCACAGTACGTTTGATGTCCTCAATATCACTGAAACGTTTCCCTTTTAAAGCACATTTAATTTTCAGAAATAGAAAAAAGTCTGCAGGTGTCAAATCAGGCAAATAGGGTGGGTGTTCGAGCACACAGATCTGTTTTGATGCTAAAAACTGTTTCACGGGTAGTGCAAAGAGAGCTGGTGCATTGCCATGCAGAAAAATCCAACTGTTGCTCTGAAACAGATGCGTCCTGACATGACGCATGCGAGCAAAGAGATGTTGTATGACTCTTAAGTAGTACAGTCCAGTCACTGTTAGTACTGATGTACACACAATAACGCGACTTCAGTACTAAGTAGTACTGATGAAGTCACGTTGTTCATCTTTAAGGATTCTCTTCCATTCTTAAATGCTGAAAACCAGCGGAACACTTGTGCACGACTAAGACAATCATCCCTGTAAACAAGTAGCATGTCTTAGGAAAAACAGCATCAGAAGTTTACAAATTTACAGTAAAATTTTATCACAGCTCTTTGATCCATGATACTACGTTTGACTGCCGCTACTTGCACAATGTTACTTTCACGCCTGCTGTGTGTGCACTGGCTGAGTCACCGACATGATTGAAGAATCTGCATGTTCAGCACAATCTAGCTGGTGAAATGGTAACCACATTTGGTGCATTTCTTGAAAGTATTCATAGAAAAAAAATCAGTCTCATTACTTATTTGGCACACTGTGTATTACGTCAATTCTTTTTAATGTTATATATTTAAAATTAATAATAATAGTAGTAGTAATAATTTTTAGTAGTAGTGTTCTTAAATCAATATTTGAAATTTTTTGTGGAATTTGTGAACTAATAATTAATAATAATATTGTTAAGAATGCTAATATGAATGTATATATTATATTACTATACAAAAATAAATTAAAAACAGATATAAAAATGTTATTTTTTTAATTATATAAGAATAAAAAGTAAATTAGTTGTAATTTAATATTTTATATATTAAATTATTTTTTCTCTCTTTATTAAATATTATCATTTTCTAAACAGCAAATTGATGGTGGTGTTAAAATATTATGTTGATAATGCCAACCAAAAAGAAGTTCAAGATGCATTATTGAAAGCAATGAAATCAATTGAATATATTTTTAAATTTATTGTTAGATCCAGGATATTATTTGCAGCGTAAGTAATAAATGTAATAATTTATATACATTATTAAGTTTATCAAAAAGTTCTGAGATAAAATTTTTTTAAATAAAATATATTGCTTTTTGTAGAATAAAGAAGGAAAAGTATTCTGTAAATTAAAAAAAAAATTTAATACATTTTTAGAATTTTTTTTATTGCTAATTATTTATCAACATGATTGAAACATTCTGAAAAATATATAATTCTATTAAAAAGAAAGTCATTGGTTCATGAAATAATGTTGTTTCACATTTTATCCTGTTATCAGTTGATCAATTTTATTTTTAATTTCATTATATTTTTACAGATTAAGAAAAAGAAAAGATTATTTTAATTATCTTTCTTAGTTCAGAAACAAATTCTAAATGGCGATTCCTGAGAAATTTTCTCATTAATAATGTATAAATTCAGATTTTATTTTGATTGATTAGGAAGATTGGATATTAGTTAAATTAAATGATTTGAAATATATATAATACATATGTTAAAAGTTTGATTAGTATATGTGATAAAAAGACTGCAATTTAGTGTTAGTGTTTTTATCACATATACAAATTAGTGTTTTTTAATACAAATAATTGTATTAATATTAAATTAAAATTTGGTTAGAAGCTAATTACATTTTCTATTTATATTCTGATATTATTTTTTTTTGCTTTATTTCATCCTCAGTTTACAATAAGATATTAAATAATATAAGAATTATGACATCAGAAAATTAATAAGTAAAAAATTAAGCTTTTGTCGCCTCTTCCAATTAGCTTTTCAAAAGTAAAAAATTCTGGAGCAGTACATTTTCTTAATGTATTTTATGCAGTTGAAGATGATATTTAAATATTTTTTGTGTGTATAAATCAGGAAATTTGTTTTCTTTATATAAAAGTTCTAAAGTTTTATTATTTTTTTGTTTAGCTAGATGTTTTTTATATTGTGTCTGGTTGTATTTATTCAAACATATATCTTGTATATATATCAATATAAAAATATTTTGGCAATTTTAACAAAAGTAAATAACTTTAATTCTTATTTGATTATATCATAATAGCTTATCACTTTCTTTCAGAAAATAGAATTGTTACACATTCTAATACTTTATATTTTATTTATGATCTGTTTTAGTAACTTGTCTATTGGTTTCTGTCATAGTGTATATATTGTGAATTACTTATGATCTTATTCTTGTGTTTCATAATGCATTTTCATTTTTATTGTATTAATATTAAATTTACTTTTAATGTACATTTTGATGTTAAGAATATGCTAATAATAATTTCTTATTGTTATACTATTGATAATGTTTATTCTAATACATTCAGATATGTTGCTTGTAATTATGTTTCTTTTAATTAAATCTATTGTTCATTCATCATTCATTACCCATTCATTCATAAATAGATAATATAATGTCAAATCACGTTTGTACTTAACTGTATTTGATGTAAAATATGTAACTTCAATAATTTAGAGTCAGAAAACTGTAGAAAAACTGAATTCAAAAATCAAATAAAATTTAGAAAATAATTTGAAATTCAAAATATAACAGTAATAGAATAAGGTTTAATTTTTTTAAATTTGAGATTAGTATATTAATATAAATTTTTTTGCATATTTGTAAAAGTTCTATTATTACAAATATGTAAAATATAATATTCTCAAGAAAATTATTATTCATTGATTACAATATCCAGCATATATTTGAGGAATTCAACATTTATACTGTTTTTAATATCAAATGAGATTGTCTTTTATATTTTCATATCATGAAATATATAAACAAATTTCATTGGTGATTATGACTCACTTCTGAAAGTAAAGAAAAATGCTAGCAGTTCTCTGACAGTTGGAACAGTTGAAAATTCTAAAATACTCCAAAGATTANTATTGCAAATTACTCAAATGTAATAGCCATTTTTTTCAAGTTTTAGTATCTCTGAAAATAGTGTGTGTAATAGATTTGATGTAATATATAAAATTAGCAATCTCTAAGTGCCATGCATCTTATTTCTTTGTCACTATTTCCATTTCATTATTTTAATGATTTTAGTAGACCAATATTCAAAATAGCAAATATTTAAGAGGTTAACTTAGCTTAATTTTATTGGTCTGTTACAGTAATGTCATAACTATTTGGATAAAAATTTCAGAAAATGTTCTTTCAAAAAATGCTACACTTCTAATATTTTATATGACACTGAGGATGATTGCATATTAAAAGGTGTGAGCATTGAATCCAGTATTGATTCAATAGAACCTAATATGGAAAGTGAAGAGGTTTCCAACTTCAATACCATGGAAGACAATGATATATAATTTATTTTATAGTGCAATAAATACTGAACAAATTTATGTTCAACAAAATCAATCTGGTGATAAAAATTTGTCTTAAGTTGTCTGTTTTTTTGAGGAAAAAAAAAAAGGTGATGTATTGAAATTAATTTGATTATTGGATGAAATTCTTTGGTCTTGGTATCCAAATGACCCAGTTGGTCAGTTGTTTACAATAGAGTTCTTTCATGATGATGATGTTGGTTGAAGCAGCTCCATCATGATGATTCCAAGTGAATGCATATCATTGTCCTTTGCACTAGCAACCCTTTGGCATTTGCAACAGTTGATTGACATTTGTTCACTTATGAAGGCTTTAACAACTGCTTTGCAGGTGAGATTGTGTTGCATTGTAGTCATTTTTGAAGTGATAGAGCAATAGCATATAAATGTGTTCTTTCAAAAGTTTCATATTGTCATACATTGCTAATGCATCTATTTTCAATGAAATATGTGATGTGGGTATATAATTAGAGGAACCAAAGGTTACTCTACTTATATACCTATATCAACTAGATCATTTTTTCCAGTTGTTTCTAGAAAAAGAATGAAATGTTTAAGTTTCACTTTTACAACCTGATATTGAATTTGTTGTAGAAGACTTGTAGATACACTCTGCATCTTAGCAATTTTAATAAAAATTATAATTTATTTTAATCATAATTTTTATCATCATAATTGGGAAAAACTGATAGTGTCAGAGCTGTTTGGAATGCTCTCTAATAATCTGAATTTGCTTAATCATTTTTTAAGAAAATCTAACTATTACTGATATAAAAGCCATCATTTGTGTCTGTGTCTGTGTGTGAATGCCTTATAACTCCTGCAATTTTTGTCCAATCCAGATGAAATTTTGGTTATATTTGTTTTATGTTCTGACAGAAAGTATAAGCTACTTATTTTGCAGAAATATTAGCTATAGGATAAATGTTTTTTCTATTTTGGATCAGTGATCACACTTATGTTGCAGTGACATCAGTGACCTTATTTAGTTTATACTTGACAAGGGAATTTTCTTTAAGTTGCATCTTTAAATATTTTGGCAATGGCATATTTTAAACTTAATTCATGAAATTTAAAATATAAACTCTTAAAACAATAGCCTCATTATGTCACTTCTATGATAAATTTAAAAAAAAAATCTTTTCATAATGACCTTGTGGCATTTCATTCAGAAGTAATGATCTAACGAGCCTGTTATTTAGAAAGTGTTATTGCACATCTAACTAACATATATATAATTTATCTTTGTTTTATTGATATGGAATTAAGTAATGGCTTTGTCAAGGGTTGCAGAAACAGCATCACAAAGTCAATCATTGAAACAATATTTAGGTGTCTATTACTAAAAGAATACAGCAGGGAAATCTTTTAAAAGACAATAGTATTTACTCAGTATGTAGTGTATAAAGAAATTTTATAAAGAAAGATCTTAATATTTTTTAATATAAAGGTCTAAATCTATGTGTATGTAAGTGAATTCTCTATAACTCCTTCTATTTTTGTTCATTCCAGGTGAAATTTTGTTTTGCTGCTCTTTACAACAGATAGTATCAGTAAAAATACTTAATTTGTGGAAATATTAACAACTCTTCTCGAATTTCTTGAAATCTCTATTCTTCTCAATTCTTCAATCTCTATTTTTCATAAAAGTATTCATGATGGAATACTTTTACTAGGAATTTCCCCATCAAGCATGATGGCTTAATGGGGAAATTCCTAGTATGCCACAGGGTATAATAATAACTTTATTTGTAATTATTTATTTAATTTATGTGATATAAAGGAAATGATTTCCATATCAAACATCGTTTAAATATTAAAAACATCGGACTAACTTTTGACTTCCATGGAATATAATTTTATTTATAGCTGTATTTTAAAAAGTAATTATTTTATTTAATTTATGTGATGTGAACATAACAATTTCTGTATCAAACATTGTTTAAATGTTTAAAAATTGGAATGCAAAAAGGTTCAAAAGTTAGAAATTTTCAAAGGATAGAACTGTTTTTTGTGCATTCATTCCTGATGAGGGCCTCTAAAAGACAGCTGAAAATGTTTGAACATTAAAAATTTCTTTGTTTGTTATGTGCTGGAATTTAGGCATCAGTTAGTTGATTAAATATTGAAGAATTATGTATATTTGTGTTATAAATATATTTGAGTTTAAAAAAATGAAAATTAATTTCACTTTATGATTTGAATTGTTAAAGTTATTAAAGTGTTAGTTCAGTAAAATTTTAATACAACATTTGATTAGTTCTCAAAAATTTTAATAAATAGTTCAGGTTATGATAATGTATTTTTCCTGAACTTATTATTGATCTTTTAGTTTATTGTTAAAATTTATAATTTTAAGATAAATTATTTATTTTTAATGAAAAATGGCATTCATAAGTAAAGAAATGAAATTAAAAATATAAATAAGAAAATGCATTTGCAATAACAAACACTGTAGAATCTAACAATAACATAAAACATAATAAAATGCAATTATGCCAATAAAAATGAAAATACTTCTGTTTATATACAATAACTTAAACATTTGTTGAAACTATTAGCTATATTTACATTATAAAGTTAATGGCAAAAATTAGTGAAACTGTTTCATTTGACTCATGTTCATGGAATCTTATATCACTATTAAAGTCTTAAATGAAGAATATGATCATTTGATTAAATTTTTCATTTTAAGTTAGAAACAGTAAATCTAGTATCTGGATTCAATAATAAATAGATTAATAATTTTAAAATTTAGCTTGGGCATACATTTTTCTAAATAAATATATTGGCTAACCTATAAGTTTTGTCACTTTATCTTAAATCTTGACTGAACTTTTTCTGCTGTAGATTGTGGAAACGGATTTCCACTGTTTGACGTAATTTTTATGAAGCCAATTGGAGGAATTGTTTCATCAATTATTACAAACAATGGTGAGGGAATTTAAATAAAATTTAAATATCTAGAATCCTTAAAATATAAATACATATTGTAATGTTTTGTTGAAATACTTTTCACTCATACAAGCATAGTGGACTAAAGAAAGAAACAGACTAACCATTGATTCTGTAAAAGGAATTGCTTTTGTGAACTTTAATTTCAGGTGCTTCACATGCAAAATGTTTTTGGCTTCACACACANTTCGTTTTGGATCATTAAGAGTTAGTAGACGCACCAGTAACAGGTTAGAAAGAGTTATATTTCTATCTAAAACAATTAAAAATTGTTAAAACTCTCCTTAATGCTTGAAAAATCTTACATTAACTACAGATTTACAAGATTTTTAAATATTTTAGTCTATATACTAAGATTTTGCAATCCTTAAAAAAATTTTTGCTAATTTTATATTTTTGAATTGGGATACATAGAGTAAGATCAACACTTAAATGTATCTATATGTTTTATTTTTGTGAAACAATATAAAGACATTTAGTATTATGAGAATTTTTTAAATAAATGTTTATCCAGAAAGAAAAAATATTCATGTTTGTCTTAGAACTTTTGGATTTATCTTTATATTGATTACTTTAAAACCATAAAATCAGTAATTCATTTTTATTTTTTACAGATTAAATGAAGGAAAGGGTAAACAGCAATTTGAATTATCTTTAAAACAGTTGTTACAATCTATAACAGGAATGATGTTATATCGAACTGATTCCACTCTGGTTGTACAAGGTGCATGTTTGAAGTATTTTCCCTTTGCTATTCCAGATATTCTTTCTGTATTTGATTCCAAAGAGCTTAGGTAAATACATCTAAATAAAATACTTAACATATATTATTCATTATATAATTTTTTTAAAAATTGAAAGACATGGAAAACTCTGATTATCTAAATTGGTTTACAAAAAGAAAAAAAGCCCTAGAATTTGTGGCATTATAAATACCATAGAGTATAATATATATAGATATCAAACTCTTTGTTTTACTGGAAATTACACAATCATCTATTGATTGTGGTGCTACAAAACTAAGTCATATATGTAACATTATATTAGATTTTAAGTAAATTAATTTCTGTTAATTAACTGTAATTGAATTACAGTATTTATACTTTAAAAACTTTAAATGCACAATGCTTGATGCACCCAAAAAATAAAGACAAAGGAAGTTTCTGGATTATCCGAAGTTTTATTTATTAAAACTTCTGATTCTAACTAGTTCAGATAATCAAATTTCCAGTGTATATAAATAATATAAATAAATGTAGTTCTAAAATTAGGTTGAACACAAACTCATTTTTTTAATATTTGTAAGTTATTTTAAATTATCATGCTGATTTTAAATTATTGTAAATATTTAAATTTATAAAGTTTATAAGTTATATTTAAAAATCTTTATTATAGACCTATATATAATTTTTAGTATCCTAATGCATCTTAAAATGTATTTTACTATAGGATTTTAACTGATGTTATTTATATTTCAATAAATTAATGAGTTAATTTGTTGTCATTAGTGAATGTTATTATTTTTTAATGATTGACCTATAAAGAATAAAATTTAGAATAAAAATGTTACTTTATATCCTGCATATATTAATTATACATTTTTATATTGTATATAATGAAGAGTGCCAAGATATTTTGTGATTATTAACTAAGTAAGAATATGAAAGAAATATTTTTGAACTAATGAAAATAGCCACAATTTAAATTATAAAATGAAAGAAATAAAAAAAAATAAATACATATATGAAAATTAGTACCTTACTATTTGATAAACAAAATCTACTTGATTAATATTTTCAAAAATCATTTGATATAAAATACTAGCTTACCCGTCGTGCATTGCTGCGATCTCAGAAGAAAGGAAATTCAAGCAAACTCGTAATGATAAAATTAAATTTTCATTTTATCATTTTTATTGAAACTTATTATTATTAATCATTTTCATCGGGAAAACATTTCAAAGTGTCGTTTCAATTCTATTTATTTATGTGAGGCCTTGCCGATTAGGGGTGAGGTGTTTTCGACAGCCGAGCGGTTAATTCTGTCGTGTGGGCGCGGAATGACTCACCGAGACAGGTTTACCATATAAAACCGTTTAATAATATACATAAATCGTTCTTACAACAATCTAATGCGGGCAAGAGCCTATCCCACGATGGGTTTCTGTCACAGTTCCTACTAATCGGATAGTTCGAATGTTCGATTGGTCCTTGGGGAGCTTTCGGCACTGTGGACGCAGAGAACGACGGCTCCGGGGCACGCACCAACACTTGTAGTGATGTCCTCGGTTGACAAGTCGAACCTCGACGATTCTGGACGTGACCTCGGCGATCCTAGAGTGGACGGGTTGGCGAAACCAGTTCCTAGGTCGTCGGAAGAGCCTTCGTTGCGTCTCGGTCGGGAGCACCAAATCCCGACAGGTGAGCACTACACACCAAAACCCAAGACTCCGTAAAGTTCCCGAAAACGCGGTTTTATCGATTTTTCCACCGCGGTCGCCTCTCCATTGGTCTCTCCTCGTCACATGGTGACAATTCGAAACTCCAGGAAGGGCGCGGGAGAGTTCAACGTCGCGTCGGAACACGACTCCTCTCCAACCTCGTTTTCCTCGACTTTACTCTATCTATTGTTTAAAATCTTTTAACAAGACAAAAGGTTCATTGTTTAAATCCGATCTTTAAGTTCGCTCTTTCGCACTACGAAACTTGACTCATTTAAGAAGTCGTTAATGGCCTGCTTTCGGACCCCGTTTGGGTCCTCACATTTATTGGAGTGCTTGTGGATACACGATATTTTTTGTTTTTCTGTCTGGTGTGTACATGAATAAATCAGAAGGTTTTCTGACGCATGAGCTGGCCACATACAGTTGTCCATGCGAGAAGCACAGATTCTCCAAATTTAGCCCACACACTTGCAGCGATTGTCAGAAGTGTGATATTCCCCATTTTTATATATATTTTTTTAATTCTTTATAATTTTAATTATTTAATTGCTCCTTCCTCTCTTCCTTGGCATGTTGTGAAATTTCTGATAGTTGGATAATAAACCACTTTATTGTAATTTCTTTTTAAATTATTTGAGTTGATAATAAAATTTGGAAAAGGGGGATTTCTAGATTGGTAAAATAGGTGAATTTCCTCCTACAACTTTGGTTGTTGTTTGGGATACAGTTAAGGTTTTAACAAAGTTCGAGCGAATACGTAATTAGCAAAAAAAATTGAAATAAAGTGATTAAACAAAAATTATTACAAATATCGTAAATAACAGTTCACAAATGCATATATAGAGATAATTTTTGGAGGGGGGAAATGGTCTTCACAATTTGAAATCGATCGAACACACAGTGAAATGCTTGTATACACTCACGCCATCTATCGTAGGATAAATGTACTATGCCAGAAACCTTTGCGGGAATATATTAAACAACTTCCCAAATTTTCATGGCAATCGGATAAACAGTGTGGTAATGCATGAAGGACAGACACACAGACATACATTCATTTTTATATATATATAGATTTTGACTTCAGTTTGGGCCATCCTCAGTGTACAGTAGAGCATCGATTTTCCGAATCAATTGGGGACTGGGTTGTTTGGATAACTGATATTTCGGATAACTGATTTACGTACGAAAAAATAGTTTAACGTATCCAATGTTGAAATTTTTCTCCGTTGTGTGTCGCTTCGCATTGAATTTTCGTCGATGTTAAGCCTAACAAAGACTATTGTATCGTTAACAATTATTTTTTTTATTTTGTACAAACAAAATAAATATATTGAAAAATATAAAAATAATAAAAAATTATACTTCAGATGTTAATTTAGTATCAAAAACGTAAAATATTTGAGTAGCCCAAGACATAGGCAAAGATTGAAGCGCCACAGCACTGGCAAAAATTAAAATTTGCCGACTGGAATTCTTTCGGATGATTGACTTTCGGAAAATCGACTCTCTACTGTATATATAAATCAAATCAAAATAATGAAAATATTCATTGGAAAAATCTCATTCAGTTTATATAAGTTAAGAAAGATGAACTTTTCTTTATTTTAGAATGTATTGTTCATGAATTAGTTTTTTCAGTGAATATTTTTGCTATTCTGAATTTGATTTACCTACATGCTGAGATTGACCCAAACTGAGCCCTAAAACATTTCATATTAAACAATATTTTTTGTATTCTTTATCAAGCAGTTTTTTTACTTTCCTGGCTGTTATATATAACGGAGGGAAAGTATAGCAATTGGTCAGAAATGACCCCCAAGATTTTTACATTTTTGGACTTAGGACACCTTAAAATGTCAAGAAATGCAAAAAAAATTCAGAGGTAATTTCTGTATGTACAGATGTTTGTAGGGGGGGCACAATTTTGTTCACCCTGTTTGAAACTTAATAACTCCAGTGCTTTTTGTCAAAATTTCTGAAATTTTGCAGGGAGGTTTGTTTATTAGGGGATTGATGCTGTTAAATTTTGGTGGTTAAAGGTTGAGGGAGTGGGGAGATAATGGGGGTCGTATCTTCAGTAGGGTCAGACTTAATGATGATTTCGTTTGTTATTAGCATTGACAAGTTTTTATAACACACATCTCTACTTCAAAATTAAGCTTTTTGCCATTTTATAGTAATTAAAAATATAAAAAGTTTTTATAATAAAATATCATAACAGATAGCACCACCAAAATTTTAAATGTTGCCAGGAAAGTTGAGCAACTCGTTGCTGGTTTATTTTTTTTAAATCAGTTTTTACTGAAATTTGTTTGAAGTTTGTGTGTTAATATTCTACTTGTTAATAAATATTAAATAAATAAAATTACATTTGTTATAAATAATAAATAATTTCTTATTTATTAACAAATAGAGTAGATGTTTACATAATATACAAAAACTATGCATATAAGAAATTTTTTGTTACAGAACAATACGAGGGCTGTTCAGAAAGTTCGCGGCCTCACATAGAAAAACAAACAAAATAATGTTAAAACTTTTTTTATTTTTCAATGTAATCTCCTCTGTTAGCAATGCACTTATTCCAGCGATGTTCTAGCTTTTTTATGCCATCATAATAGGTCGATTTGTCAAGGTGTGCAAAATACTCGTTCACTTCAGAGATGACTTCGTCATTTGAGTGGAATCTCTTTCCAGCCAAGAATTTTTTTAGGTTTGGAAAAAGGTGGAAGTCACTGGGGGCCAAATCAGGTGAGTACGGTGGATGTGGAACTAATTGGAAGCGAAGTTCGTTTATCTTTTGTTCAGTGATTCTGGCGGAATGTGCAGGTGCATTATCGTGGTGGAACAGAACTTTTTTCTTCTTCAAGTGTGGCCTCTTTTCTTCGATTTCTTTCTTCAGTTTTTCCAAAAGTTCACAGTAATAGACAGCATTAATGGTCTTTCCTCTTTCTAGGTAGTCAATAAAGATGATGCCTTTAGCATCCCAAAAAACCGAGGCCATCACTTTACCCGCTGATGGAACTGTCTTTGCCTTCTTTGGTGGTGGCGAACTGTGGTGTTTCCATTGCTTCGACTGTTCTTTTGTTTCAGGAGTGTAGTAATGGATCCACGTTTCGTCAGTAGTCACAAACCGACGCAAGAAATCCTGTGGGTTTTTCTGGTAGAAGTCCAAACACTCCTTTGACATCAAAGTGCGAACACGTTTTTGCTCGGCGGTCAGCAGATGCGGCACCCACCTTGCTGAGATCTTTGTCATACCCAAATCTTCGGTTAGGATGTGGTGCACTCGGTCGACAGAGATGCCTGTTGTCTCAGCTATCTCACGCGTTTTCAAACGGCGATCTGCTAATACCAAATCGTGAACTTTGTCGATGTTTTCTACAGTGACAGCAGTTGACAGCCGTCCACTGCGAGGGTCATCTTCCACACTTTCTCTGCCAGATTTAAAAAGGGCTGTCCATTTTTTCACAGTGGTGTACGAAGGAGCAGACTCTCCTAAAACTTCATCCATGTCAGCTTTGATTTGAGATGGGGTCAACCCTTTTTTCATCAGGTATTTTATGACCGCACGAGTCTCCGTCTTCTCCATTTTTGACAAAGTATGTGCACACTGACTATCTGCTAAGCTGTCGTGGCAAAACTTTTTGACAAATCAAGTGGAAGTTGGTATCGTATCTTTAGCAAAGATGGCTGAATTATTCCCGCCAAAAATTAAATTGATCGCAGCACCTCATATAGGCAAGGCCGCAAACTTTCCGAACAGCCCTCGTATATGTAATATCTAAATATTGTCTTAAATTCATTTAATAATAATTGACATTTTTTTCAAGTTCTTCTGACTTGAAATATATGTGTGAATATTTTTCCAAAATTTTGAATTCAATTGTTTTATTTTTAAAATTATCAAAAGTTCCAATCTAGCATAGTGGAAGTATACAAATCCACTATTAATAAACTATACATTACAAACCAGTGTTTCCCGAAGTGGGTGCTACCACCCCAGGAGCAGTGAATAAATCTAGGGGGCAAATAGAAGCAGGTGGGAAGCATGGGACACTGGAGGCAGGATCTTGATTGAACAGTGACCACGGCAAGGGTTCAGGTCACTGATAACCTTTCCCTTAATCATTAAACCAGGTAAGAAGAAAGAAACATTGCATTTAATAGTTTTCAGCTGTTGAAAGCAATAAATGATAAAGACATAGTATGAGGTTCATAGAAAAGCTTTTCTAAGAATATTTCCAAGCCTTTCTCATACAAAGGAAAACATGTTGGGGTGTTGGGTATAATTTTCTGGAACCAAGGGCTGGAGACTTGAAAAAGTTTGGAAATCACTGTTATAAACTTCAAATAAATATATATATATATATATTAAACAATTTCCAACTTAATTTATTTATTAATTTTATTTGTGATATTTAAAAATAAGTAAATAAATATTACTTTATATTTATAAATTGAATTGTTTTTGTTCTTAATTAATGTTTTCACAGGAAATTTTGATTATTTTTAAATTAGTTAATATTTATATGTAATCATATATTTTTTAGAATATTTAAGTGGATATTCAACTTTATAGGTCATTCATTATAATTTGAGATATAAAATATCTTTAAATCTGTTAAAATTATTAAGCTTTTTATGTTAATTTTTTTCAGTTACATTCTCAATGATTTTATTAATAATGTGCCTCTTGATCGTCTTACTAAACAAAAGATGATGTGTGTTAATGATATTGTACATAGCGATCTTTTTAAAATACCAGGTATTAAATATTATATATGTTAATTTTAATATTTTTTATTAAACATGCTAAAATAATTAAAAATTTTGTTATATAATATATGTAAAAAAAATTTTTGTAATGTAATAAATGTAAAATTTGCAATGTAATGTAAATTGGGAGAAACTTTTTTTATTTTTGAAAATTTTAAATAGTTACAATAAATCATCATTGAACTCTTAAATATTTTGAAAAAATAAAATAGAACAGAAAATTAAACATTTTTATAACAGATTATTAATTCTAGAACATTACAAAAATAATTCTTATATTTAACATAGATTTTTAAGGTATGTTATGATAAATGTAAAACTCTTTTATTATTATATTTAATAACTGTCTTAACTATAAATAGATATATATTTATTATATTGAATTTAAATTTTAAGTATATTCTAATATTTAACTAGAATTTTTAAAGCTAATTAATAAGCTAAATACAAGATATAAAGAATTTATAAATAATATACTACAGGCAGTCCTCAGTTAATATAGTATATATATTTTTTTGAAAGAACACATTAAACAAAAACACATTAAGTAAACTCATACAGCATCCAGTAGTTAACCTCCTTCAAAACAATAGAGAGGTTGTGGCCAAAGTTCAAATGTTAAACTTGTAAGGCAAGCAAAAGTACATGTTTGACATATGAACTCCAAGTAAAACATGTTGTACCACACGTTCACGTCACGCACTGACTCATGGGATATTATTAAAAAATGGCAGAAATGTTTAACAACAACGAATGTTACCAGCAAAAGTAAATAAACAAATTAAACTATTTTAAAGTATTTATAGGATGTTTAATAACACTAAATAATTATTCTTAATTAGCGTCATGTCTCCTACCATATGTATGATAGGACAATAGGACTACCTCATACTTTTGTTGAGAGAAGTAGTGGCTTATGTAAATCCAAAAGCAGCTCAGGAAATTATTTTTAGAAAATTTACAAACATATTTTGCTGTTGATGGTAGAAGATGCTGTGAAAGAACAAACCTACTCCTACAGAATTATAAGCTATTATAAACAGAAATATATGTAAATTCTATAGGCACTTCACATCACTTGCAGAAAATTGAATAATTAAATAATTTCTGGATTAAAATCATCTGTTTCTTTACAATATTATTCATAAATGCTTAAATAATCATTATTTTAATAAAATATGTCATAATTTTAACCACAAACACCAAAAAAATAAAGAAGTTTAAGCCAATCTATTCACCATGCTAGACGTAGTGAACATCATTGTCAACCTTCTAGAATTGCCAAATGGTGGCACTCAACATCCAATGTTCATATTTTGGGCTGCAAACGTTGGCTGCAACCTCTCTAATATTAGTCTGAAAAGGTGATTTACCTATAATTAATGAACCTTGTTAAAATGAAAACATGTTAACTGATGTCCTGTTAACCAAGGACTACTTGTATTTAAACAGTTTAATATAGTAGCACAAATAATACATGAGTACATAACAAACTTATAATAAAATTTGTAAAACTATATTTAATTTTAAAATTATGTAAACGTTCCAGAACTAATATTAAAAGTTTATATCAAATCTTTTTTATCTTATCAACATGAAACAAATTTAAAAATTTCCTTTTATATAATTTTTTACTAATAATTTTTGTCAAATTAGTATCAATAAAGTAATTGATTACTTTAACATAACTTGTGAATATTTGGTTATATGTTATAAGTTAATAGGTTCTTCAACCATTCTGCTGAAATGCATCTGATAAAAGATTTGTTTGTTTTTAAAGTATCTATTAAAGTTATGAAAAAATTATTAATACATTTCTGTAAATAAAATAATGAATTAGAATCAAGTACAGTATATATAATTTACTTACTGACCATTATTTCAGTTCTATTAATAGTTTATAAAATGTGTGTCAAAATGAAATGTATTCCAAATTAAATTTTTAAATGTAAAGAGAAAAGATATGATCACATTTATCCATGTTTAAAATATGCAAAAATATCACAATATGATAAATTTTTTTATGATTACTATTAATTGTCCACAAATCATACGGATTAAATATGTTCATTATCAGTAAAAGTTGAATGACTTTGTTTTCTAATTAATTTTGATATTTTTTGTATTAAATATAATGTAAACCTAAGTAAATAATTTATGAATTTGAAATATTTTTCATAAATGCAACTTTATATTTGATACAAACAATATTATATCCAGTAATTATTAAATGTTGAACTTATATTAGAATCAAAAGTATTTTTAATAAAATAAATTCTGTATGATGAATTTGTTACATATATTTTTTTTTTTTTTTAATTTCAGAATGCCGGAGCATTATACTACCTATAATCAATGATCATATAAACTCATTGCTTACTAGAACTGAGGAAGTAGAATTATGTATTAAAATTCTTAGTGATGTCCTAATAGTACTTCATAGTCAAGAATATCTTCACACCCTTAATGACATTTCAAATATAATGTTTAATGTTCTTCGTACTGTGATCCAATCTGTTATTGATATGGAAAGGGAAAAACCTTTAGTAGTAAGTCATTAATTATTATTAATATATAAACTTATTACTTTATTATTGAATATTGTAATATTGAAGCTTATTACTTTAGGTGTTATATAATATATAATATCTAAACTAATTAACTCCAAAATTATTGTGAATAAATACATTGTATGATTTAGCTCTATTGTTGAATTATTCTTGATATTTTAATGCAATCTCTTTGATTTTTATTTTGAAATAGGAAAGATTAGATGAACTGCTAAATCCTTTTCATCCAGTAATGAAAATTTTCTGATATGTTTTTGCAAATTTTTTGAAAGTTATTTCTGGAATATCCTTGTATATTTTTATTTGTGGAAAAATACAATCATAATTTCAAAAAAATTGTCAAAAGTTTATTTCTACACATTATATATTTAGATATCTATTTTTACTTTTAGAAAAGAATAATTTGATAATAGCAAGGATAAATTTACCTTGTAAAAATAAATTCATCCTCATGGAATGATTTTTTTATCTGTTGTTTATTTATTTATTTATTTCAGTAAAACAACTTCTTAATCATATATGCAAAATAATTCTCGATCAACCTAACATGAAAAGAAGGATGTAACTGTTATAAGCAGTATCTTTCTGAAGTTTGGAAAAAGTTACCGACAGTTGCCATAATCAATATATGTTTAATTCTAATAAATATGTATTTAAAAAAACTAATTATTTATTGTGGAATGGTCACAATGCACTTAAGTTTAGTAGTGTCTTGCCTCTGTACACTTTACTGTTAACAATAGAGTCATGCCAGTCATGTATCTAACTCCATTCAGGAGAAAGTTTTTGAATTGAAATAATGTGACTTCCAAACTGATTAACTATATACAAACTTCCATTTTGGAAGTTTGTATATAGTTAATCAGGGCCTCCTGCCCCTTTCCATATCTGGTCTTAACTTTTATCTCTCTAACACCATTCTTGAGATTAAGGAAGGACAGACAACATGACTTAATCAAATCCAGAATTGCAGAATATCTGTTCTCTATTCCATCACTTAAGACGATATTTACATATTTAGCCAAAACTGTTTCAGAATATAAACTGGATTTGTCTTCTTTCCAGATTAGTCCTTTTTTTCTTGTCAATCAAGTTAGATTTTCTATCCTCGTCAGTGTCTATCAGGATTTAGAAATTATCAAATGATGGTCAGACATATAATCTTCAGAAATAAAAAATTTTTGCAATCTCACTACCAGACTCTCATTCAATATCACTAAATTACTGAAGCACCCAGTTTACTGTAATTATAATTATGATTATCTTCAAGTTTTGTGTTAAGATAATTTTTTACAGTAATGGGATTGCATTCTAATGTGAAATAGTGATAGGAATCTTTTTAATTATCATTTAGAAATGTTTTACTAACTTAAAAGTTTTAAATTTATAAGTAAGTTAGGTATATTTTTATTACTTTAAAATTAATTATAAAAATAAAAGAATTCATAAATTTAACTGTAATAAAATATAAAATTATGAATACAAATCAAATTTAAAACTGTAGCTAAAATTGAAAGTACATCTAAAGTTCTGCAAAACAAAACTCGAATATTTTTTGCTCTCAAAAAATACATTTAAAATTTTTCATACACTACGTTATGAAAATAATGTATATTGGCATTATATTTTGAATTAGACTGATTTTTTAAGACTATTTTGTTTTTTTAATAGGGTAATCTTGTAGCTGTGATGGTTGGTATTTTGAGACAAATGACTCCATATCATTATAAACAATATATCAGCAGTTTTCCTACTTCTACAGATTTACTTGATTTTTTAATGGAAATACTTTTAGTATTTACTGATCTTGTTAATAAAAGTGTTTATCAGAAAGATTGGAATGAAATGATTATGTTGCAGAATAGGTAAGACATCTGAATAAAACATTAAAAAATGATTATAATTTAATAAATCTTACTGACATTTAGTTGTTATTTTTATTATTGTAGTGTTATTCTTAAAGCATTAAGATATTTCTCTCATACAATAAGAGATCATTTTACAAATCCTTTTGAATATCAGGTAAGAAATTTTGATACTTTATAAAACAAATATCAATGATAGAAAAATAAAATGTTAAAAATTTTATTTACTTTTCTTAGTATTATAATTTTACAATTTTTATTTGTAAGTTTATTGTAAACTGTGTGTAAAAATTAATGCCAAATATAATTCATATTAAAAATTATTGAAATTATTAAAGTTTGTTTAATATGTTTTGAATTGATTGATTTTGTTTATAAATTTATTAATAATTAGTCAAAACTTGATGCTAGCTACTAAATTGAAAAGTTTTGCAGTTAACTTTCAAAACAAAAATATCTAAAAGAAAACATTTGTTAGAATAGAAAATTATATTAAATAATTTAATTTCATGCAGCTTTTTGTTGCTTATAGAGTTGTGGAAAATGCTTGTTAAATTCATTTAATGTAGCTTGTATTCGCAAATATGATTCAGCTTCAATTATATTTGGAAAATAAGAAATAAATCTATCAATGCTAAATTAGGGTAGAGATAGTTTAATTCTGAAATCCTGCATTTTCTATTGTAAATATGTAGCATAATTATGCATTGATGATTATTTTCATATAGAAGGATAGACACTTTTATTTATTAACATTTTATGAATTTTTTTTATTAATGTTTAGTTGTTCTAAACACTAAATCAATATGTTTGTTTTAATAATGATTTTCTTACTACAGAATAAGATATTAATTAAATTTAAATAGCTATTTTAAAATGTTTTCAGACTTTCACTTATCAAACTTCAGAGCATCAAATTTTATGAAAATTATAATATAATCACATGCATACATTGATCTATTATTTTTGGAAAATGTGAAGATGATCTCTAGAACTTGCATTCTGTATAACTTTGTAATCAAAGTAGTTTTTTATAATTTATGACAAATATTGTATTGTGTAATTCATTTGAAGTGTTTAGTTTTTAGATATTTTTCATATATTTTTAGTATTCTGTTAGTTTTGCATTGGTAGCAGGGTGTTTGTGTCTTTTATATTAATTGCTTTTCTTGGATGATTTCTTCAAATTTCTGTGTATATATTGTCTACTTGGACCTTGTTTATTAATAGGACTTATTATACTGGCAAAGTTTCTGATTATCAAAGAGAAGAGATCTTAGTAAGTAAGGTAAAAAGAATTAAGATGTCTTCAAATATTTAGTTTTTCAACTATTTATAAACTCTCTTCATTTATCTTTTCTATTACCTTTATATTTTCCCAATTTATTTGTAGATCTTTTCTCCGAACTTCTGCCAATATTTTTTTATTCTTTGGTCAATTTTCTATTTTCCTTGATTTTTCCTGTAATGCTTTTGTTATTTTTTTAATGTTATTTTTCTTACATCTGCTTGATTTTCTGATGAATTCTGTATATTTCATCGGTATTTAGTATGTTTTGTATTACTTTAGTATTTGCAAATAGTTGCTTAGACTTCTTTATAAGATTGACTTTGCAGCTTAGTTTTTAAATGCAATATTTCAATTTCTGTATTCAATTAAATTTGTTAACTTAATTGTGTTGCTGATTGAGAACACTTTACACTTTGCTGTAAAGATATAATTCATGAAATATAGCTGTTGTAATTTTACTTTCCTGTCTGTTCTTATAATGTAAGAAAATGTTTAGCAGCTACAGTATATTTGCTACAAGCTAATAAATAGCATACTACAGAGAAAAATTTACAAGTAAATAAATTTTTATTCTAAATGTTTGGATATGAAAGAATAATTTAATTAGATATGATATGAAATTTGATATTTCTATAGCAAATGTTTTGGTAAAAAAAAAAAAAATAATAATAGTAAGTAGTTTTGAAGAAAGTCTGACAATAACATTGAATTTATTTCTATATCATTCTTTAGTTTACAATCCATAACACAATTCTTATTAACTTTCATTCTTGTATATATTCAGTTATTATTAATATCATTGTTTTTATATTATATCAAAAAATATAAAATACTAAATTAAGAAATAAAATTATTTCAAAATTTTAGGTTTGGAACAATTTTTTTCATTGTGCCATATCTTTTTTGACTCAAGAAGCTTTGCAACTGGAAAATTTTTCTCAGAATAAAAGAAATAAAATTATATCAAGGTATTGTTAATTTAATAAAATTACAACAATATATTAATAATTTAAATAGTTAATTTTTCAATTAATGGTATTAGTGTTTTGGTTATAAATATAATTATTCATTTAATACACTCCTAAATAATGGTTATTTTTTTATTAAATTAGTCATTCAAAGTAAAATCTGAAGTATTATTGTCTACTTTCTTTGATGTTTCATATTGATGAAAGAGATTTGTTCCAGTTCAATTGATTTTTTTAAAATCAAATATATTTAGAGATGACACATTAGTCAAATGAAAATTTTACTCATTATTGTCATTTACAATTTTTTTGAAATTCAAAAATAAAGGTTTGATTTTTTTTTAAATAAACTCTTGTAACTGATGACACTATACATAATTCTGATTTTGAGCCAAACTCTTATTGTTTCTTCCTGTAATAATTCATTTCTAAACTTAAACATTCTTTAAAAAAAAAAAAAATAGAGGAATTTCTTATAATTCAAGCTTACTCTTTTTAAGCTTTTATTTAAATTTTATATAGTAGTAAATTAAAAATCATTCAACTTTCTTTCTGTTTCCCTTAATCTCCTGTTTGAATGATTAGAAAGTTAGTCAAGCGCTCTGACCAGATTTTTTGCTGAAATAGATAAGTCATGATAATCTTACACTGTATAATTTTTTTGTTTGCTGAAAATAAGGATTTCATGGAAATAAAAGTTTTATTACTAAGAAAGAAAATACTAATCTAAACTAAAATACATTCTATCATTATCACAAGTCTTCAGTACTGCCATTAGAACCAAGCAGTTGGGGTACTTGCTCAGGATTTGTTTGCTTGTTAAGTTATGGCAATGCAATACTCAGGCAATCTACCTAAAGGATGCCTTCCAGGAGGTCTTTTTAAGGGAAACTGGCCCCTATTTAGACGTTACAGATGTGGAGAAAACCCAGAAAACTTCACATGGCCAGCTTGTCCAAGCAAGGCGCAAACCCACAACTGAACTCCCATTGTTCAGGGTACAAAGCCGCCTGGCCACTGGTGGGCTCCCAGGATTCGTACTTAAAAGTGTCTCATCCTTCAGAGGTTTAATTTTTTACTTTTTTTTTTTTTTAATGCCATTCTGCCTTCATAGGAAATATATTGAACTGCAACAGTTCTCTGCATCATATGTAGGCATTTATACCATGGAAAATGGTATTACTTTAAAAGATGAATCTCTGAGCACCAAGTTTTGGAATTGGTTTCTAGACTTTAAACAAAAACAAATTATTATGTTGGTGCTGTGTGTTTGTAAGCTGATGAGGGATCCTTGTACCTGAAATGCATCTTTACCTAAATTTGAAATGTTATTATTAAATAACTTTTTTGTAAAAGATCTGGTCCTTCTTTCTGTTAGCCTTGGTGTGATAAGACCTCCAAATTGTTAAATCCTATTTATTAGGTTATCTAACTCTATCTAATTCATAGTTGTGAACTAAAAGCATCATTTATTATTAGTATCTATGTTATATTGGTATCATTATTTTGGCATATTTATGCAAAAACTTAAATAAAATAGTAACTAGTATATCATCATAAAATATAAAATTTTACAATTGTAAACATATATATATATATATATATTTTTGTGATTTAGTTTATTTTTGCTACATTATTAAATTTATTGTTAATTGCAAGGATTTTACTATTACAGTAGAGCGTTGTTTATCCGAAAGCCAGTTATCCGAAACGTCGGTTAACCATAAGCATTCCAGTTGGAAATTTTAAATTTTCGCTAGTGCTGTAGCACTACAATCTTTGGCTCTATATCTTGGACTACTCCAATATTTTTTTGTTGGTGTGTATGTTTTAGCTGGCAGCACTGGCACTTTTATGTAGTGTTCTTCTGAGGACTGTGTCGTGCTGAATCAAACGTTTTTGATACTAGATCAACTTCTAAAGTATATATTTTTTTGTTTTTATACTTTTCAATATATTTATTTTGTTTGTAAAAAAATAAAGAAATAATTTTTAACGATACAATAGCCACGATTATTATTTTAAAAAGTTTGCGTTAAGCTTAACATCGAAAATTTAATGCGAAGCAACACGCAACGGAGAAAAATTTCAACGCGGGATAGATTAATATATTTTTTCGTACATAATCGGTTATCCGAAAGATAAGTTATCCAAACAACCCCAGTCCCCAATTGATTCTGATAAACGATGCTCTACTGTATTATACTATAAGAGATTAATTTGCCTAACTGTAATTTTATGCTTAGGTACAAAGACATGAGAAGAGAAACTGGTTTTGAAATAAGATCTATGTGGTTCAATTTGGGTAAATTTTATTTTAATAAGCATTAAAGTTTTTATTACATTTACTTGAAGATATATATATTTTTTGTATTTATTTAGGTGCAAATAAACAACATTTTGTGCCTGGTATGGTTGGTCCTTTTCTAGAAATGACATTAATTCCAGAAGCAGAACTGAGAAAAGCAACAATACCTATTTTTTTTGATATGATGCAATGTGAATTTTATTCTCAACGTACTTCTACATCTTTTCATGATGAATTTTATATTCATAATAGAGAAATTAAAGGAAATTTTCATGAGGTAATTTTTTAATTTAAATCAATGGCCCTTAATCTATGATATATCAAGCTGTAAGATCAAGATATTTTTTTTTTTTTGATGATGCATGTTTTTGTATCTGAAATATTTACAAATATATAGTTAATTAGTACAGAAATAAAATTAATTTTGTTATAAATATTTATTGAAAAATTGTCATTATTTATTTTACTTCTGCCTTAAAATTCTACTGTTATTTTTATATCTTTTTTTTTCCGTTGTAAATTTTTATGTTCAATCTAAACATTTTTATGTTGATGAATGAGCAGAGAGAAATTTTCTTTCTTAATTTCTATAGAAATGCTTGAAGTCATGCTGAAATATATGTTTAAAAATTAGACAACTCTATTCTTTTAAAAATATATTTAATTTTTTATAAGGGTATGAGAACATGTTTTAAAAGTTTAAAAAATGTGGACAGTGATAAAGATTAAGAATCATTGATTTAGACTATAAAAACATATTTTATTTGAGTTAAGTAAAATAAAATATAGTTTCCTACATTTTTTTTCTTCTCATTTAAATGATTTATATATACTTTTTATTCTTTGTTTGTAACGGGAAATGCATTCTTGAAAAAAATAAGTATAAATTTATGATCTATTGAGACATCATCTCTATGGACAAAATTAATGTAGAATATCAGATTTATTGTACTTATGATCAATAATAATAATAAGTTTTGAAAACGATATTACAGTACATTGTTTGAATATANTATTTTAATAAGCATTAAAGTTTTTATTACATTTACTTGAAGATATATATATTTTTTGTATTTATTTAGGTGCAAATAAACAACATTTTGTGCCTGGTATGGTTGGTCCTTTTCTAGAAATGACATTAATTCCAGAAGCAGAACTGAGAAAAGCAACAATACCTATTTTTTTTGATATGATGCAATGTGAATTTTATTCTCAACGTACTTCTACATCTTTTCATGATGAATTTTATATTCATAATAGAGAAATTAAAGGAAATTTTCATGAGGTAATTTTTTAATTTAAATCAATGGCCCTTAATCTATGATATATCAAGCTGTAAGATCAAGATATTTTTTTTTTTTTGATGATGCATGTTTTTGTATCTGAAATATTTACAAATATATAGTTAATTAGTACAGAAATAAAATTAATTTTGTTATAAATATTTATTGAAAAATTGTCATTATTTATTTTACTTCTGCCTTAAAATTCTACTGTTATTTTTATATCTTTTTTTTTCCGTTGTAAATTTTTATGTTCAATCTAAACATTTTTATGTTGATGAATGAGCAGAGAGAAATTTTCTTTCTTAATTTCTATAGAAATGCTTGAAGTCATGCTGAAATATATGTTTAAAAATTAGACAACTCTATTCTTTTAAAAATATATTTAATTTTTTATAAGGGTATGAGAACATGTTTTAAAAGTTTAAAAAATGTGGACAGTGATAAAGATTAAGAATCATTGATTTAGACTATAAAAACATATTTTATTTGAGTTAAGTAAAATAAAATATAGTTTCCTACATTTTTTTTCTTCTCATTTAAATGATTTATATATACTTTTTATTCTTTGTTTGTAACGGGAAATGCATTCTTGAAAAAAATAAGTATAAATTTATGATCTATTGAGACATCATCTCTATGGACAAAATTAATGTAGAATATCAGATTTATTGTACTTATGATCAATAATAATAATAAGTTTTGAAAACGATATTACAGTACATTGTTTGAATATATCATTATTATTATTTTTTAATTGAATATTTGTTCACTCTTATTTTGAATTAAATATACAAAGAAAAATAAATATATTATGGCTGATTCTCAATTAGACCAACACTCTAAATTATTTCGTAATAGTAAATAATCTTTAATGATCAAATTTTAAAATAAATTTGTTGAGTAATTTTATAAAATTAATTTATATAATAGTTTTATATTACCTGCATCTATTGTAGATAGTCATTTGATTATTAATTTAGATATGCGACATTCTAAATAGACATTGTTTGATGTGTGTTACTTCACAATTTAGTTGGGTTAATTTCTTAATTTGAATTTTTTTTTATCACAATAATTTTTCAGAAAATGAGAATAAGACTTGAAAATTCTTGTATTTATTACGGGAATATTTAGATATAAGATAAGTAAAATATTTTAAAAATTCTATTTTTTCACAAGTAAAATTATTGTTAACTTTTTAAAATTAATTTTTACTATTAATTTTATTTATCATGAAACATAGAACATGATTTAAATATAAGAAATAAAATTACTTTTTCTGGAAATTTATTTTTATAAGAAACATTAAATCTCAGGTTATGGTTTATTTTTATAGATATAAGTTTTAACAGTTTTTCTTGAAAAATTATTATAATGTACATTATTTAAGTTGAGAAAGTATCTGATAGCTAAGACTGTTGTTATTTTGTGTTTTGAATTCTGGCTCTAAAAAATAATTTAGCAAATTATATCTTAAAATACTTCAATTAAATTGATGATGATACTATTTACCGTTATCAATGCTAAGTACAGACTTAAAATATTTATACGGTATTATACTTTCTCTAGTTTTGCCTTCTTCCTTACAATCTCTTGATGTAACCTTTCTATTGCTCTTTGTTTATTGAGATTTTTAAAATGTAATCCAAATATGAATATAAGAAATGTAATTTCAGACTTATGTTATGATCTAATACTTTGAATGTATATAATATGTTATACATAATATTTCAATATTTTGGATACATATTAGTGTCAAAAAGTTTTCATAGTATTTTCAAATTGTTTTTGACAGATTTCTTAATTTTGATGATTTGAATCTTTAAAGAGATTTTATTTTAGTATTCTCTCAGAAAGAATTAGAATCTATCACATATTTATTTGAAGTATTTAGTTTGCTTGTTAAAACCTTAATAAATTGTTTGATTAATCTCAATATTTGAAATAAGGATAAAGTACTTTCTCATTAAAAACTAATTTGTTTTATCTGAAATTTTATTGATAATGATACAATAAAAAATCAGTTTCAATCATAAAATTTATTATTTAGTGTTTACATATTATATTATTTTCAGTTTGAAAATGAAATGATTACTCAGCTAGATATGTTGGTTGAGGGTGGACGTGGTGATGAACAGTACAAAGAATTATTTTTTGAAATGTATGTAAAAATTTCTTAATATTTTTTCAAAAACCAATTTTTTTCTTAAATTTTCTTAAAAATTTATCTATAATGACATAAATATTAAACAGCATTTTAATTAACATACATTTAGACTTTGCAATCTTTGTGAAAATCATGCAACAATGCATGAACAAGGTTTAAGATTTGTTAAAACAGTTGTTCGCTTAATGAGGCGTCTACTTGAATACAGAGCTATTATAACTGATGAAAATAAAGAAAATCGAATGAGTTGCACTGTTAACTTATTGGTAAGCAGTTTATAATTTACTAATTATTTTTTATTAAATTTATAATTTTAAAAAATATTATTAAAGTAATATTAAAATGCTTTTAAATTTTTATAGGAATTTTATCATGAAATAAATCGAAAGGAAATGTATATACGTTATCTGTATAAACTATGTGATCTTCATTTAGAGTGTGATAATTATGTGGAAGCTGCTTTTACTTTAAAATTACATGCCAAACTTCTTCGTTGGTCAGATGAAATTCTACCTCAAATTCTCAAAAATGATAAATATCCTAACTGTGAAACTCATAGAGAACTTAAAGAAAAATTATATTATGATATAATAAATTATTTTGATAAGGGTAAATTATGGGAAGCAGGTTTACATCTCTGTAAAGAATTATGCATGCAATATGAAAATGAAATATTTGATTATATACAACTTAGTAATTTATTAAATCATATGGCAGTATTTTATGACAATATTATGAAACAGGTTCGTCCAGAACCTGAATATTTCAGAGTTGCTTATTATGGGAAAGGCTTTCCCACCTTTCTTCAAAATAAAGTGTTCATATATCGTGGTAAAGAATATGAAAGGTTAACAGACTTCAACAGTCGTCTACTGAATCAGTTTCCAACTGCAATAGTAATGAAAACATTAGCTCCTCCAGGTGATGATATCATGGAATCCCCACATCAATATTTACAAGTTAATAAAGTAGATCCAGTCATGCATAAAAGAGAAAGTTTTAGTGGAAAAACTGTACATGAACAAATATTAAAATATTATAAAGTAAATGAAGTACAGAAATTTACTTATTCTAGACGAGTGAGAAAAGGTGAAAAAGATTCCGATAATGAATTTGCTACTATGTGGTTAGAACGAACAAATCTAATAACTGCATATCTGTTACCAGGGATTTTACGTTGGTTTCAGGTAACTTCACAAGAAACCATAGAGATAAGTCCTTTAGAAAATGCCATAGAAAGCATGGAGAGTACTAATAATAAAATTAAAAATTCTGTACTTCAACATAGAGCTGATCCCTCATTACCAATTAATCCATTGAGTATGTTATTAAATGGAATTGTAGATGCTGCAGTTATGGGTGGAATTGTAAATTATAAGGTATAATTTCACATTTAAATCAAACAAATAATAATTTTTAATAAATATTTCTAAAACATTGAAATTTGTTTAGGCTTTTTTTACGGAAGAATATGCACTGAAAAATCCAACTAGAAGAGATAAAGAAAGCATACAGAAGTTAAAAGATCTCATTGCTTGCCAAGTAAATTATTTTAAAATCTAAGTAAAAAGTTTATTATTATTATTATAAGTTGAAATGTAATAAAATTAACAATATACTATCAACTTTTAAATACAGTAATAAAAATTTATTTAAGAATTTATAAATATGATCTGAAGTTAACTAAAATAAATTAAACTAATTCTTTCTCTATTGTAATTTTATTATTATTTTTTATTTGTTTTAGATACCACTATTAGAAGCTGGTCTTCAAATTCATAAGCAAAAAGCTCCAGATAATTTAAAACCTTTTCATGAGCACATGGAAGATGCCTTTGTTAAGTTACGTGCACATGTAGAAGAAAATTATGGAAAAAGGGTAAGCTAATAATTTTTAAATAAGAAAATATCGTGATCAAATTTATTTATTTTTGATTTGTGATTTACAACTCTTTATGTTCTATTTAAAATATTTTAAAATGTATATAAAGAATTATCAGTCTATTACATTGGAATTTCTATTGAATAAATATAATAGTCTGGATATATAAAATATTGCAGTAAAAAAATAAGAATTTAATATTAGTAAACTTATTTTTTATTATGTTATAATTTCATTCTCAACTTTAAAGCAGGTTCATTTAATTTGTTTTAGTTATTTTAATTACTTTCTTATTTTGATAAATTAAATAAAATTTTATGTTTTAAAATTCAGTCATTGAAAGGAGATATAGTCTTTTAAAATTATCAATTAGGATTATTTAATAACTTCTGCATTTTAACTTAATGGATTTTTTTACAAGTTTCAAAATTTTACCATTTCCATCTTGGAAGGAATCCAAGGAAACATGACAAATCATTCTTTGGTCATCTGTTTCTTTCTGTTTTATAGATATTCTATTATGATTTTTTATTTTCTTCTACACTCTGTAATCTAATTGGGTTTTAAGTAGTCTTAATTTACTACTACTATTTTTATATATTATATATAAAATCTAATCAACTATCTAAGGATCTTAATTGTCTATTTTTCATAAGGAATTTATTAAGATTTTTTTCTTTTTATTAGACAGATCCAAGAGTTGAATCTTACTTTGTGCACAAATATTATGTTTAATTTTAATGGACACTGCTGTCTAGTGCTGAGTATTACATTATGGTAATATATTATTCTTAAATACACTGGTGTGCAAAACTTAAGCAACAATTGTTTTTTTGCCAAAATACAGAGACAGTATTTTGTACGTAAAGGATGAAGAAAGCATACTAGTGCAAAAATGAATAGAACCCATACAGTATGGAATCAAACAAAAAAAGGCTGTATTGAAAGAATAAAGTTGATATATATACAAATGATTGTCTTCCCAAGAGGGAAAACAACAAATTAACTGCAATGGTTGCTTGGCACTGTCTCTTTATACTCAACACCGGATTATTGAACAGTTGTTGAGGTAAGAGTGCCTATTCTTCGTTGAGCATCTGTTTCAGTTGCTGGATGTTTTCCAGTGGATGTAATCGTGCTGAAAGGTGTTTCCCCAAAGCCTCCCACACAGTCTGTGGGATTTAAATCAGGGGAGTAAGCTGGCCAATCCATTTTAGTGATATCTTCACTTTCTAAAAGCTTCTCAACAGCAAGAGTCCAATGTGACCTGGCATTATTGTCCATAAAATGAAGTCTGCACCAATGGCACCTCGGAACAAATGCATCTGGGGAAGGATCATTTGCTGACAATAGTGATCTCCAGTAACAGTACCTCTGTCGAAAATTTGGAGTTAGTCTGCCCATTTATCATAATACCTTTCCAAATGAGCACCCCAGGACCACCGTAACAGTTTCTTTCCATGATGTTAGTGGATAAAACTGTGTCCCTACCTCTCTCCATATCAACTAGCATTGAGAATCACTTGTGATACTGAAATGACTCTCATCTGTAGAGAGAATGTGACTNTTTGTACGTAAAGTATGAAGAAAGCATACTAGTGCAAAAATGAACAGAACCCATAAAGTATGGAATCAAACAAAAAAAGGCTGTATTGAAAGAATAAAGTTGATATATACAAATGATTGTCTTCCCAAGAGGGAGAACAACAAATTAACTGCAATGGTTGTTTGGCACCGTCTCTTCATACTCAACACCAGATTATTGAACAGTTGTTGAGGTAAGAGTGCCTATTCTTCGTTGAGCATCTATTTCAGTTGCTGGATGTTTTCCAGTGGATGTAATCGTGCTGAAAGGTGTTTCCCCAAAGCCTCCCACACAGTCTATGGGATTTAAATCGGGGGAGAAAGCTGGCCAATCCATTTTAGTGATATCTTCACTTTCTAAAAGCTTCTCAACAGCAAGAGTCCAATGTGACCTGGCATTATTGTCCATAAAAATGAAGTCTGTACCAATGGCACCTCGGAACAAATTCATATGGGGAAGGAACACTTGCTGACAATAGTGATCTCCAGTAACAGTACCTCTGTCGAAAATTTGGAGTTAGTCTGCCCATTTATCATAATACCTTCCCAAATGAACACCTCAGGATGACCATAACAGTTTCTTTCCATGATGTTAGTGGGATAAAACTGTGTCCCTACCTCTCTCCATATCAACTAGCATTGAGAATCACTTGTGATACTGAAATGACTCTCATCTGTAGAGAGAATGTGACTCCATTGATGAGATGTCCAGTCTTTGTGTTACACCAGTCTAAATGGTGCTGTCAATGATATGCAGCATTCAGGATGGTGGGCAAATAGTCCACTTTTATGAAGGCATCTGGCCACAGTAAATCACGACACTTGTCCCATTACCACATGCAGGTGCTGAGCAATGTTGCCCACTGACTTGTATCTATTTCTGTTTGCCTGCAGGACAATACATCAGTCATCCATTGGCATTGTTTTTCTTGGACAACCACTACCAACCTTTCTTACAGCTGTACCTGTGGCTTGGAAGGCTTTCCAAGCTCACGAAATGTCACTTTTGTTGATTTCAATCTCTTGGGCTACACTCATCACACTACTCCCCCCCTCAAACTTGCCGATCATTCTACTCTGTGTAAAGACATCCAAATGGTTTCTTCTAGCCATATTGCACATACAAACTCACTTGAACTTGCAGCGAATGTCTTTAATAGTGCCTCATCCTTCTTTTTATTGTAGTCTTGCACTGTATGCTCTGACTGCATGGATTTTGCATGCCCTCATTTCACCTGGGATGTCTTCTTTCTGATATTTGCATGTGAATCCCCTTTCTACTGAATTGGGTGNTTAAAGTTTGATTGATTACATAAATGCAAAAATAATCTATATTAAGCTACATAGAGTTATCTCAATGATAGGCTTATATAATATTTTTTACCCCTTGTAGTTTATATAATATTTTTGCTTTTATTATTATTGTTATCTCCAATGAATTAAATTGTCAAATGCTGGATTATTCAGACTGTGGTGTTCGTCGCACCACTGATTATGTGTTCACTGAGAATATATATAGAACCTGTAGACATATTTCTCACCATTCATTTTATTTACATTATGTACAGTACATAGAAATCTCGTTCTACACTATCCGTACAGTTGGTTAGGATCCACGTGTTGGTACAGGAGAGTAACCACGTCCGCAGAGTAGTTGACCAATCGGGAAAAGAAAAAAGAAGTGTATGGCAGACGGCTTGCACATGTTTATATATCCGTCACGCCAGCCTGATATTTGCATGTGAATCCCCTTTCTACTGAATTGGGTGTTCATTGTACTGATTGCAACAATCCTTTTTCTACAATTTCAGGGCTATTTACTTTACATCTTTTCACTTGTGATACTGAAATGACTCTCATCTGTAGAGAGAATGTGACTCCATTGATGAGATGTCCAGTCTTTGTGTTCCTTACACCAGTCTAAATGGTGCTGTCAATGATATGCAGCATTCAGGATGGTGGGCAAATAGTCCACTTTTATGAAGGCATCTGGCCACAGTAAATCGCGACACTTGTCCCATTACCACATGCAGCTGCTGAGCAATGTTTCCCACTGACTGGTATCGATCTCTGTTTGCCTGCAGGATGATACATCAGTCATCCATTGGCATTGTTTTTCTTGGATGACCACTACCAACCTTTCTTACAGCTGTACCTGTGGTTTGGAAGGCTTTTCAAGCTCACAAAACGTCACTTTTGTTGATTTCAATCTCTTGGGCTACATTCATCACACTATTCCCCTCCTCAAGCTTGCCAATCATTCTACTCTGTGTAAAGTCATCCAAATGGTTTCTTCTAGCCATATTCCACATACAAACTCACTTGAATTTGCACCGAATGTCTTTAATAGTGCATCGTCCTTCTTTTTACTGTAGTCTTGCACTGTGTGCTCTGACTGCATGGATTTTGCATGCCCTCATTTCACCTGGGATGTCTTCTTTCTGATATTTGCATGTGAATCCCCTTTCTACTGAATTGGGTGTTCATTGTACTGATTGCAACAATCCTTTTTCTACAATTTCTGGGCTATTTGTTTTACATCTTTGCTTAAGTTTTGCACATCGGTGTAAATAAATAAAATTGTCATTCCAATCCATTTATTTTTTCACTTGATGTTCAAATTTCATTTTTCTGATTTACTGATTTCAAGTAATTCATTATTTATTTTTAAATATTTCTAAACATAGTGAATTTTTAACCTTTTACATTTTGTTATTTTTTCCATACACTTGTAAAATAAAGTTGAATCAGTTCCTCTCATTTCCTTATATTTAATAATAGTTAATTTTAAATTCTATCAGACAAATTGAAAAATGAATTTAATGAAAATATCAGTTTGTTTTAAGATTTAATTCAACAATTTAAAATATACTAAAATGAATATTTTATATACAGTTATACACTCTAATACTGCATATTTATAATAAACATAACTTACAAGTTGTTTATTATACAGTAAATATATTCAGTTATAAAGTATCTGAAAGTGTATCAGTATTTATAAAATGTAACTGTTTATAGTTTATAGATGCATTACAAATATATGTCAAGTTTTGGTGTGTCTAACCCACAGATTATGCATGTTTTGGAATCAGTTTGAAAGATGTGGGTTAAGCAATGATGTTACCTTCTAATTTTAATTCATAATTATAAATTCATCAAATAGCTTTTTCTTTGCCTAAAGTCACCAAGAGCATCTTTATCTAAACACACTGCAACATTTTTTAAATGAAAGTTGAGCATTGTTAAAAGTTGCATATATAATTTGCTATCACATGCAAAAACTATAAGACACTATGTATGACTTAGGTTGTTATTGGATGCGAAATCTGTCATTTACATCTGGGCATTGCAGTTTTACAGTTGCACTTATCATGACAGCATACATGCATACAACTCAGATTCAAAAACAAAAAGCAGCAGTAATTATTTTAATGTGTTTAATCAACAAAGAAAGTGAAAAGGATGACGTTCATTACTATGTTGGTGACATAGTAGTTACAGGCTGTCATGTTGCATGGGATAACACAATAAATGAGTGCCATTTTGGGGATGAAAACTATACATGATATAATTCACTTGCCTCTATAAAAGTCTGTCAAAATGTTTTGATTTTTTTTATTAACCATTGTTCTTTTTTATTTAGGTGCAGCAATGTTCTCAACCAAGAATGTTGTCATGCATAATGTCAATCAATACTAGATTAGTAGTGGCTGTTTTATCGTAATAAATTCAATCAGTCATATGTAACACAATAAAAACTAGAGAGAAACTTCTCTGAAGTGACATTGCATTGAAAATTGCATCATACATTGTTACAATTTTGAGAAAGTTGCAGTATATTCAGACTTGGTTAGAAAACATNTCACCTGGGATGTCTTCTTTCTGATATTTGCATGTGAATCCCCTTTCTACTGAATTGGGTGTTCATTGTACTGATTGCAACAATCCTTTTTCTACAATTTCAGGGCTATTTACTTTACATCTTTTCACTTGTGATACTGAAATGGCTCTCATCTGTAGAGAGAATGTGACTCCATTGATGAGATGTTCAGTCTTTGTGTTCCTTACACCAGTCTAAATGGTGCTGTCAATGATATGCAGCTTTCAGGATGGTGGGTAAATAGTCCACTTTTATGAAGGCATCTGGCCACAGTAAATCACGACACTTGTCCCATTACCACATGCATTATTTGCTATTTACACCAGTGTAAATAAATAAAATTGTCATTCCAATCCATTTATTTTTTCACTTGATGTTCAAATTTCATTTTTCTGATTTACTAGTTCAAGTAATTCATTATTTATTTTTAAATATTTCTAAACATAGTGAATTTTTAACCTTTTACATTTTATTGCTATTTTTTTCCATACACTTGTAAAATAAAGTTGAATCAATTTCTCTCATTTCCTTACATTTAATAATAGTTAATTTTAAATTCTGTCAGACAAATTGAAAAATGAATTTAATGAAAATATCAGTTTGTTTTAAGATTTAATTCAACAATTTAAAATATACTAAAGTGAATATTTTATATACAGTTATACACTCTAATACCGCATATTTATAATAAACATAACTTACAAGTTGTTTATTACACAGTAAATATATTTAGTTATAAAGTATTTGAAAGTGTATCTGTATTTATAAAATGTAACTGTTTATAGATGCATTACAAATATATGTCAAGTTTTGGTGTGTCTAACCCACAGATTATGCATGTTTTGGAATCAATTTGAAAGATGTGGATTAAGCATTGATGTTACCTTCTAATTTTAATTCATAATTATAAATTCATCAAATAGCTTTTTCTTTGCCTAAAGTCACCAAGAGCATCTTTATCTAAACACACTGCAACATTTTTTAAATGAAAGTTGAGCATTGTTAAAAGTTGCATATATAATTTGCTATCACATGCAAAAACTATAAGACACTATGTATGACTTAGGTTGTTATTGGATGCGAAATCTGTCATTTACATCTGGGCATTGCAGTTTTACAGTTGCACTTATCATGACAGCATACATGCATACAACTCAGATTCAAAAACAAAAAGCAGCAGTAATTATTTTAATGTGTTTAATCAACAAAGAAAGTGAAAAGGATGACGTTCATTACTATGTTGGTGACATAGTAGTTACAGGCTGTCATGTTGCATGGGATAACACAATAAATGAGTGCCATTTTGGGGATGAAAACTATACATGATATAATTCACTTGCCTCTATAAAAGTCTGTCAAAATGTTTTGATTTTTTTTATTAACCATTGTTCTTTTTTATTTAGGTGCAGCAATGTTCTCAACCAAGAATGTTGTCATGCATAATGTCAATCAATACTAGATTAGTAGTGGCTGTTTTATCATAATAAATTCAATCAGTCATATGTAACACAATAAAAACTAGAGAGAAACTTCTCTGAAGTGACATTGCATTGAAAATTGCATCATACATTGTTACAATTTTGAGAAAGTTGCAGTATATTCAGACTTGGTTAGAAAACATATAAAATATTTTATGTGCATTAGTCATTGATCAGTCATTGATCATCAGAGTTTTTCTCAAAATCATCAAAGACTCATATATCTATACCTCATATTTAATTCTCTTCCATTTATTTTACTGAATTTATTTTATGTAATTTACTTTTTTATTTCTATAGGGTGATTTTGTTGATTAAAATACTTATATATATATTTAAAATCCTAACCCAGCTTAGCTGCAATGTTTCTTCTTGTTTATATAAAATTACTTTCAGCCATTTTGTTACCAAAACTGAAACTAAATATGATGATGTCATTACCATTTTTCTTTATTTGCTTCATCTTTTTAACTCTGTAGTATACAAATCACTTTTATATTAGATAAATGAATATAATGTTTAAAATTTTAAATAATAATAAACTTTCAAGTTGGAAGGCAATAGTAAAATAAATTTAAATTAAATTTAAGAACTGAATTATTGCTGTTCAACCAATGTCACATCATCACCAATGTATTATTCATATTAAAATAGTTTTTCTATTTGTTTTTTTAAAGTTTGATTGATTACATAAATGCAAAAATAATCTATATTAAGCTACATAGAGTTATCTCAATGATAGGCGTATATAATATTTTTTACCCCTTGTAGTTTATATAATATTTTTGCTTTTATTATTATTGTTATCTCCAATGAATTAAATTGTCAAATGCTGGATTATTCAGACTGTGGTGTTCGTCGCACCACTGATTATGTGTTCACTGAGAATATATATAGAACCTGTAGACATATTTCTCACCATTCATTTTATTTACATTATGTACAGTACATAGAAATCTCGTTCTACACTATCCGTACAGTTGGTTAGGATCCACGTGTTGGTACAGGAGAGTAACCACGTCCGCAGAGTAGTTGACCAATCGGGAAAAGAAAAAAGAAGTGTATGGCAGACGGCTTGCACATGTTTATATATCCGTCACGCCAGCGCCACCTGGATTTTCAGATGTAGTGCTAGTTACACTTGTTCGGCCGCCACACAGACTATATTTTAACTATTAACAATTAGTTATAATTACAATAATTTTTGAATTAAATTAAATTTTAATAATTATTAATATTAGCATAAAATAGTTTAACTGCCTACCTTTAAAATATAATGCTTATTTATATTTTATATTATTTATTAATAGTCAAATATTGCTTGTGAATAATCTAGCATTTAATGATTTGATTATTAAGTAATATTCAGGTTTGACCGTTTATATATATCAACAATGAATTGCCAGAAGTGAAACAAAAAACATTTTGATGTTTGAGGTATACTTTCTAAACTGCATATTAATGNCATGGAATCTCTCCGAAATTCGTGCAATCGTCGTCATCCTTTGCGCATGCGTCGTTGTGAGCCTATGTTTCCTCCCGTTATGTGTCATATATCAGGGTTTGCCACGCTACTGATAATGATATTTCATCTTTGCTGTTTATACAATTGTTACCCTGAGTTGCCTTGTGTATAAAAATCGCTTCCATCAAGCGCAAAAATTGTGTTTGGTGCGTGGTGTATATTATCTTTGCTTGCTCAAATAACGGTTGTATCTCAGGGTCCGTGGCGTACTGTGCTAAGGCGGTTGTCAGCCTCTTGTGGAGGATATCAGCTTTATGTTTCTTAATCCTCACTCCTAAAGATCTCTTCGTGGAGCCGATATATAACAATTCTTCCTCGCATCTGCGATCCCTAATTGGGATGCTGTATACTCCAACCATCATGTCTTGTTGCGGAGTATCTTTTGCATTACTAAGCAGTCGAAATAATGTAGGACCTCTTCTAAATACGATGGAAACTTGTCTTTTCTTAGCTATCTCTTTATATAGTTTCTCCAAATATGGATTATACGTTATAGCCACTCTTTCCTTCTGTTCTTTCTCTAGCGTTTCCGGACTATCTGTTCTTTGCGGATGAATCATTTTTTTGGCTAATGTAGTTACCAGTTCACTATACCCATGCCGTTCAGCAATACTTTTAAGTATGTTTATCTCTGTTATAAATGCATGCGATGTCGAAGAGTGCATATACGCCCTTTAACCAAACCTTTAACCAAACATAGGCTCACAACGACGCATGCGCAAAGGATGATGACGATTGCACGAATTTCGGAGAGATTCCATGTTCGGAATTCTTTTAAAAAAAGATCGTTTCAAATCGAATCTTAACGGATTTTGCCCATTTTTCACCTGAAGAAGGACCAAAAGGTTCGAAAACGTTAGTGAAACAAATTAAAGTGAAGTAAGCACCGTTTTGGTTATTCTAGAAGTAAGTCTGTTGAAGATACGGTGTGTGTTGGAAGTAGTATTGATACAATAGTCTTCGTTAGACTTAACATCGATGAAAATTCAACGCGAAGCGACACACAATGGAGAAAAATGTCAAGATGGGATAAATTAATATATTTTTTCGTACACAATCGGTTATCCGAAACACCGATCTTCCGAACAACTCCAGTCCCCAATTGATTCGGATAATCGATGCTCTACTGTATTATAATTGCTATATGTCATTTTTAAATTTGTATATCGTTTTAATATTTAAATTTGAAATATTTTTAGAGTGCACCTCCAGAATTACAAGAAAGAATATCTGTAAAAATGAGAAGAACTTATCCAGTTAATTCAGCTCCAATTTCTATAAATGACAGACTATCAGAGATAAGTCTGAATACATCAGAAGTGTATGTTTATTATTTTTGCTTACATTAGTATACCTTTATTAATGCATTAATATATATCTTTAGTTCTTTAACTACTAACTTAACTACCAAATTTTTTTTAAGTTTCTTTCTTAAAATTGGAATTATTTTGCATGATTCAAAACATCTTTGTGTAATTTCTTTTATAATTTAAAACTAGTTTTTCTAATTTTCCTTTTATATTTTAGAAAATTTATCAGCATGTAACTATTTTTTATTCTTATTTTCTTTGGTTTCTTTTTTGATAAATCAATTACAAATCCAGGACAAGAAAAACAATGTTTCCTACAAGGTATTGTCTTAACTAATATTTTATTAATTTTTTATGATTTTTAAAATAAAAGAATAACTTATTGAAACTGATTGATTTGAATAACAGAATAACATGTGGTATACAATATAATATATGATTAAATTGTGATTCACAACTTTTAATTTTTACTTACCTGATTTTCTTTTCTATTAAAAATTTCCTTTTTATTCTCAAAATATGTCATTAACATATGCTTTTTTTTAATTCTGTCAATAAATACAATTGTAAAATTCTATTGAATACTTTACTAAAAAAGTAAAAAGTATTCAACAGAAAATAAATAAATAATTAAAATTGAAGTTATTAGTAAAAAAGTAATTTCTAAAGTATAAAACCCAATGTTCTAGTATTTTCACTAATTAGAGCATTTGGCATGTTTGAAGGATTTGGATTTAGATCTAATATACATTCAATTATGTGATTAATATATTGACTTAGACTATTAACAACACAGATTGCAGAATAATCAGTTTATGAAGTTTTTTACATTATTATAGATCATTATTAGGAAGAATTGATTATAAAATAAAAATAAGAAAACTCTAAAATGTTAATTTTTATTCCTTTTTTAATAATTAGCTTCTGGTTATAATATACAGATTTTCAAAATATTTTCAGAAATATTAATCAAAAATTACTGTTGATGCATACTAGAAGTAAAATATCCTATTTCCAAAGATTATAGAAAAAAATGATGCTATACAAATTTTTAATGTAATTATATGATTAAATGATAGGATATTCAAATACTTTGCCTTATTTATTGTTTTATTCATTTGTAACTATTTACATTGTAAACATTATTTTTTGTTTTTGTTATTTATATGTGAAATTAAGAAAAATCATAATAATAAAGAATTAAATAATGATATTCTGTTATTTTGCATAAATTTAATGTAAAAATTGCTTATGAAAATTTTAATTATTTAAAAAGATATTTAAGGATATTTAAGATTGTAATTTCTTTAAATATGCATTAAATCTTTATATAATAAAATCATATATATGATTTTATTTAATTAATATATACAGTTGCATTTTATTAATGATTATATGAAATTAAATAGCTAATAAATAATGAATTTCACATTAGTGCTGATATATTTTTATTATTTTTACTTAGCAATCCTTCAACACCCACAAAAGTTTCACCAGGTATAAGAGCTCAGTCTGTTTGGGTGAAACCAGCATCTTCTCCTTCCAAAACATCAAATAAGAAAAACCGTGACAGTGCAACACTATTGTTGAGAAGAAATTCTGGTGCATCTGTAACTTCACAACAAGAAGCTCAGTCACAGTCTCAATGGTATGACACATTACCACAAAATTCTAAAAATGATGGTCCTATTATTGAATTAAATGAACAGGTAATAATAATTTAAATAATAAATGAGTATTTAAAGTATAATTTGATTTTTAACAAATATAAGAATTAATTTTTAGTTTAATCATTTTATTATTTTTGATTCAGCTCACTCCTCATCGTCCTTTACGTTCAGAAGTTGAAAAACGACAAAGTAGGCCTTCTAGTGGTCATTTTAAGCAAATACCAACACCTTCTCCTACTAGACAGAGTTTTAATTATGGTGATTTTCTTATATTAATTTAATAAATCTTATATTAAATTTCAAAATTTTTTAAATTATTGTTAATTCTTTCAGGATCAGTACCATCAACTCCCTCCACTCCACGACTATTATCACCAGTCACTTCTACTCCTAATAATACAGATGATAAGCCACCACCATTGCCTCAGAAACAAGCTTATGCTGATTATACAAATTTAACTGATGATATGTCATATAGTAATACATTAAGAAAGAGTTCTATGACACTACCAAGTCGCGTTAAACATAAAGTATGTTTGCATTTTGCTAATTTACCAAAAAAATTAAAATAAGAAAAATTAATAATTTTTTCATTTCAGCCTCCTCCACCTCTACCTGTAAAAGATTGTGCATCTACATTGGTACCAAAGAAACCTTATAGGCCACAAACTGATTGTTTAGAAAGTCCTCCAGAATTACCAAAAAAACCTCATCATTCTGAAATGATAGAAAGTTGATATATAGAAATTTACAATTAAGTGCCTTTTAATGATTCATAATAGTTGAATAAATAACGTAAAAACCAGTTTTCATATTTCAACTCTTTGACATTTCCTGTTTATATAAAATAAAATATACATTTCCATGAACTATGTAATTTAAAAGTACAATACAGTAATTAAATTCTTAAATTCATTGCTATTTCCCAATTAAATTGTTTTCATAAAATTATGAATCTACTAATGTGAGATCAATTAAGGTCAATAATTCTTTGTACTATCTATGTTGATTTTATTGTTTTTATATCTTTTTTGATAAAACTATACATTATATTTTCCTTCTTTAGCATAATGCATCTTAAAATATGATCTCATTCTTTGTTTTAGAAGCATAACTTTTTTTGATGTGCAGATTTTCATTTACATATTTTATGCTTTTATGTCTTATATAGAATTTAATTTACTGTCATATGTGCTTATCTAATTTTTAGATTTTGCTAAAAGAAAATATATATATATATACACAGATATTTAAGAAACTGTGCATTATACAAAACAAATTTAAATTAATTTGATATGTTATATTGAAAAATGTGCAACAACAATTTGTTATAATGTCAGTTTTTCTATACTTCAGATAGTCAAATATAGTGATATAATTTTCATTTTTATTTAGAATAAGATACCTTCTTTCTCAAAGTATTCATATATTTTGGTCAACTTGTTTTAAACTATCATCAAAGAAAATTTCATTGTAATTTTAATCAGTTTTCATCTAAACTCATTTAATTATTCCAGTGCAATTTAATTTTTAACATTTTCTATGATTTCTATTTTAAACTTTTTATTTAAATCTGTCTAGTCATTAGAAAGTGATTGATATTTTATATAAATTATTATGGAAAAATATTTTAATATTAATGCTGCATTGTAACTGTGCAACATTTTCTATCTGTTGTGATTTTTTTTAATTAAAATACAAACGAAATTTTTAATTTTTAATATATATATATATATATATATATATTGTCAATTGTACAAAATTCTCAGACAGAATTCTGAAATTCAAAATGACTTGATCTATACTTAATTATTTATTAATGCTTTTTTTAAAGAATGTAATTAATTTGCATTTCATTCAGATATTGTTAAAATATAGTTTAAATCAATAATGTCCAAATTTAGGGACCAAATTTGATCATTCCACTTTCATTTTCAGTATTTTGAGAAGAAAGGAATTTATATAAGTATATATTTCAATTAATATATACTGTTATTACTTTTATAAAATAAATTTCTATATTTTATAAATTTTTTGAATTTTTATATTTGGACATTGTTGATTTAAATATAAAAATCTTATTAAAAAAAAATGTGCCATGAATCCCACTTATATAAATCAGTACAATTTTCATAAAGTTAATTAAGGATTTAATTTTTATTAATTTGTATAGAATAAATCAAAAATTATTTTGAGATATTTAGATAGTTTGCTATAATATATATAATTTCATAATTCTTTTTTAAGTTGTAAATGCTGTGCAATTATCAATAATTCATCAAAAATTATTTTTGTTTTAAAGATATTTTATTATCTTTATAGATTTTTTTCAATAAATTTATCTTCCTTCTTCCATCTAATTTTGTAAATTTATTTGGACCAAAGAAATTATTTTGATATGTCCAGAATATTATAAATGTATTATCATGTCATATATTATCATTGGGATATAATTATTAAAAAAAAATTGTATATATTTTATTGTCAATAAAAACAAATTCTGTTACAGCAAAATGTTATAAATTTTTTTTAGATTTTAGTGCAATTAATATAAACATATTTCAAGTTGTGTGCTTAAAATGATTTTTAATTTTGTAATTATTTAACATTTTCTTTGTTAAATTAATGCTTTTAGGCTTTTTCTCAAAGAATTTTTAGGATCTGACTGATAATTAACATGAATTAGGAACATGAATACAACAGATTTATCCGTTGTATCTTCAGAGATTTACACATCATCAAGTGTGTTATCTGTAAAATCGACAGCTGCCTTTGTATCGACAGCATCAGACAGGTGTCACTAATTAAGTAAGCGCCTTACAAATGAACGTTATTTTACGGTAATTAAAACATATTTATATTCCATTAACCTTTAATGAATGTCAGATGCCCAAGGCATCCAAAAAATTTGCCATTTTACAAGTTTTTCCTTCAAAATTTGTAGATATATTTACACACGTACACAAAAAAAAAAAAATGCTTGTAGATCTTCATCCAGCTTTATAACATATTAAAACATTGTTATTAAGTCATGTAGACTTATTAATTTTCAAAAATTTCCCTGAAAAAATGAAAATAAATAAAAAAAAATTTAAGAAATTTCGTGCTCGAAATATAGTATACATAATTAGACTACTAATCTATAGTTTATTAAGTACCAATTATGCTATTAAAATTCAAACAGTTTATATATATATATATGTACAAATAACGGCGTAGAAGTTTTCATCATTTGTGACTAAAAAATGTCACCTGTACACAATTCTAATTCTTATAAAAGTCATCAGAAAATAACCTTTAATAATTAAAATAATATAATCTTGTTTCCAATTTTATTTTATTTTTTTTTCTCTTCAAAATACTAAATTAAATTGAATAAAGTGTAAGAAAAATTACTAAAAATTATCGACTAAATCGGGAATTTTTAATAATTAATTTAAATATTCGATATTATTTATTATTATTTATATTTTTTTAAGTTTAGTCATTGGTGATTATCGTGATAACGAATCGTAAAGAAGTGGAATGCAAGCAGATCAACCAGAACAATGCTCAGTAATTCAAATGGTTATATTACGAAATGGCTGCTATAGAAAAACATTGGAAACGTTTTATATACTGTGCATGGCAGAATAAAATAATGTTTTACATCTATATCGTGTCTACAATACTTAGAGAAGGCAGTAAATTATGACAAACGAATGGAATTAATTCTTAGAGTTGCCAAACTACCTTTCTTTGTAGACGTCTCTCTTTGCTGGCTACAAAATTTTTTTTCTTATTTTAAATCCTCTTCTTCTATAATCGACTTCGTGTTTGTCGTATTAACTGCATTTATAAGATAAAGGCGGCTTGTTTGAATGTGAGAGGAGTAATTAGTAAGAGCATGATTTGTAACGAAATTTTGCATTCTTTCTTTATTATTCGCGCTCTTTCTTAGTATGTGCCTATTAAAATTCTAAGCGCAGATCGATGAAAGATTTTTTTTTTTTTTTTTACATTTTCCCATCAAAATATATGAATTGTTTAAAATAAAAATCTTAATTTTTGTAACTAAATTTGTAGTTTTCAATATGGCTTCTAAGTTTATATACGTTAAATTTAAATAACGAATTCGTGTAAATTTCAATTATAAGATGGGATCTGTAATAACTTAATACATGATTTACTTACTGCAGTGTTTCGATTACACTGTTAATTCTTCAGAAGAAGAAGCCTGACTGCATATAGGTGCGTATGGTGACATCAGAAGAGGTCGTGGATACGTAGAAAATTCGTGATGCATGCTAGTGGCTGCAATTGGTAAAAAAGGATTAACACCCGCTAATCCTAATCCTAAACTGTTCGGTAATATGGGCCTTGCAGCCATTCGTAACTTTTCCAATTCGGCTTCTTTTAATCTTTTCTCTTTGGCTCTTCTATTTTGAAACCATATTTTAACTTGGGTTTCGGTTAAATTTAGTGAACTCGAAAATTCGGCTCTTTCGGCAATTGATAAGTATTGTTTCGTGCGAAACTTTCTTTCCAGCGCTAGCAGTTGTTGTGTTGTGAAAGGCGTTCGTGGTTTCCTATTGCTCTTGTGACGTCTCAGTTGGCACTTCATTGCCGGTAATTTAGGAGGTTCCATCGATTCTAAAAATTAAAAAATACATGATATAAGTAAATAAAATAAAAATAAAAGGAGCATTTTGTTCTGGACAAAACACCATTCACGTGACATAACAACTAGTAATATGATTAAAAACATTTCACATTAACAATGATCAATCCGAAGTAAATACATTAACAATAATTACAACGGAGTAAATACATTAATAATTGTAAAGTGGGGGATTTAATATCGGAAAAAGCTTAGAAAATAAAATCACAGTTCGTAATAGTCATCACGTACGTTAGCGTGTAGAAGGGAATTTATACAGGAAGATAACAATTATGTAAAAAGCTAGAGTTGACTGAGAACTGTTTTGTGATTGCCATTAATCGTTTGGATGTGCAAACAATTTATCTAAATTCTACCCAATGCAAATAACGAAATCGTAATTATTGATTGAAGTCGACATTTTAATCTGTTTAGTCGTAGGCTCGGTAATGGAGTCGATCGGATCTTTGCATCGAGGAATAAAAGCAAATAAAATATCCTCGTTTATAAAACTGAAACGTTCATTCATCAATAAATAAGTAAATAAAATTTCGAAGAATATTACATATTAACTAGAAATTATTATTAAATGGATAGTTTATTTGTTAGATTAAAATATATAAAGTTTTTATTGATTGTGTATTTTGTTGGAGAAGAAATAAGTAAAAAACTATGTTATTGTTTGTTTTAAAATATACTGTTGTTGTCTCGGAAACACGAATTTGTTTTAAAATAAATTTTTATTCGTTTATGTACTTACGAATTATTATATTTTATACAAAAAATAATGATAAACTTGTATAGCATTTTTTAAAGCTAATCCTTAATAAGAATAGCCAATGTTTATAGTCTATCTTACAATCGATGGATAAAGTAGAAATTAATTAATTTATTGTTTTAAATTCTACTTTTTTTTTTAAAATAAATAAATGTTTGAATTGAATTAAATCCTTATTTAATAATATCGTAACTCGTTATTTTACTCTTAAACGGCAGAATAGATTTCTATTAACTATCCACTCTTACGTTTAAGATTGAAGATTATTATTAATTAAACTGCCAAAAAAGCTAATGGTAAGTCATCATTATGTAAATAATGTTATTTAAGTTTACGTTTCTGTATTTTAATGGCAGACGTAGAAGTCCGTTAATCATTTAGTGGCTAGATAATTATGTTAATTGTGTTTTTATATTTCGATCATAATCAGTTAATTTTGTAGATGTTTATATAAATTAATTTTAATCATATACTTAATTACAATTTACTACACCATGTAAATGTATATTTAAAATATCTCACGTACTGAATAATTAGAACTTATTGAAGGGAGTCGTTTTCGATCTCATCCAGAGTGAAACAATTCTGTCTGTACTTTAATTGTTTTCGTAGTTTACGGTTTAATTGCTAGTTATTTATTTTAAAAAATCAGCAATTTGAAGTGATTATAAAATACAGAGTCTATATAGACATTCATTTAGTTTATAGGCTGTATAGACTGTATTTTTTCACGATTATTTTAGGCTAGATAAGCCCAAAATACAACGAAGTTCTTACTAAACAAAATTCATTTTTGGAAGTTAATTAACAAAAAATTCCAATGTTTATTATCCTAATTAAATCAAGAAGTTTTAACTTAATATTAAACCAGTTAGCCCACATTCTAGAGTATACATATTTAATTATTCAAAAGCTTATATCATGAAAAAATATACATTTAACGAGAAAAATTAAGCATAAAATGTATTTTATATTAGTTTAAATAATTATTTTTGTTTTAATGACTTAACTTCTTAACCAATTTCTATGTGTTCTGTATACACATACAGAACATGATTAATAATTTAAGTGATTAATTATAGTGTTAATTAACATTACTACGAAGAGAAAAGTATGTGTGCTTTTTATCTATTTAAGATTTTAAATGTATACTAAAAATATTTATTAAAAAAAGGGGAAAGAAGAGAGACGAATGACGAGCACTCCTACTACCAGAGTTATACATAATTAGTAAATTAGGATCGAAATGAGTATACGTCGTCTTTCTAAACTGTCAAAACAGATTAGCAATTAGCTATCCTGTCAGTGATTGCTTAGTCACGCTCTCGTAAGCTATTATTTGAAGCGATCTTATAAAGCAGTAGGCGGTTCTAATCGTTAATCTCCCTTCTACCAAGAAATGTTTGGCTTAATTGGATTTGGCTTTCTGTACCGCAACTTGACCATATTTGGATTCTTAAAATTATCAAATGGAAACGTCTTTTATTTAATTTAATATGTATCTCTTTCTAAATTAAAGTGTTATCGCATTTTGGACCACCTTAGATTATCTTTGCTTGTATAGGTAAAACTATGAAACCTGTATAGAAAAATGCGTGGGTTCTACGCGGTGAGATAAGTACAAAATTCAAAAAAATTGCCTTTTATCTAACTATAAATGGATTCTAAAATGAATCGGGATAATTTGGAGCGTGTCAAGTGTTAAATTTGATGTTATTGAACTGTTTTATATCGAGAAAACAGGCGCGAGGTATTATTAAATATACCTCTGGAATATTTAGTTTGAAGAATACCATTTGAATAATGTTAAGTGAGATATTGACTTCGANTAAAATATATATTTATATAGTATAATGAATATATTTATTCTGAATCATTAAAGTTTTAGTCATTTCCAGAATTATAACAAAATTTAATTCAAGATTTTAACTTTAATCTTTTCGTTTAAATGGTTTAAAAACCATTAATAAATATTATTTTAAATAACTGTTTAAAATGTCTTATTTTAATTTTTCTTTTAAATAAAATGAATTGGAAACAGTAGAATTCGTAGGCCTAGAGTTAAATTAACATCATTTTATTTTGCTCTATAGATTTATATATAGCTTATATATATATAAATCTATAGATGATCTGTTTAGTTTGATTTAAGAATAACGTGTTTACTACAATTCAATATTTGTCTTAGTCTATTTTATGCTTACGAGTGCATAAACTAGCTTACATGTAGCCATAAATAAGATTCGTTAAAGTTATAACTAACAAAATAAACTAATTTTTTATTCAATTTGAATATGTTTACTACCACTAATTACACTTAACTAAAGGATAATGTTTAATTAACATAGACCATAACTGCGACCAATTTAGATCAAATATAGGCCTATAAGTTTATTTAAATTATTTTACATACCGTTTTAATTTAGACGAAATTATATTTTAAAATATATAAAATTTTAAATATATCTAGGCCTATATATCAGTAATAAACTAGGAGCGTTAAATTTTTATAAATAAAAGTTACTTAGGTCTATATGAATTTATAATGATACATCTTAGGCCGATATACCTGTATTTAAAAAAAATCTATTTAAAACAAGCTTTAATAGACAATTAAAGTTTGCTTTCTAAAGTTAACTCTGCTCTAATTAAAGTTAACTGTGCTTTTTTAATGTATTTAGATAAGTTTTACAAAACAGAGAGAGAGAGATGCAATTAGGTTAGAACAATTTTACAGGATGAAAACTTTAATAATTCTATTATTTTAAATATAATATTAATATATTTGTTTATTCTCGAGATTACTTTTGTTATTTGAATAATTTCCAAAAATTATCAGAAAACTTTTTATATTTTTATCCTCAATTACAAATAATCAATTAAAGAGTTAGATCAAAAAAGTCTAACATGAAACTTAAATATAAGCATAAAATTTTGTTATTTTTTTGGATTTTTTTTCTATTAAATTTCTACTTTTCGTGGCCTTTTTAAATATTAATTCGTTTTTTTCGATGTTATAAATAATTTATATAGGCCTATATTTATAGGTTATACTTTAAAGATTATATATACAGAAGACTTTAACATGATTCCTCTCAACAAAATAGCATTCTAAATTATTGGGAATGAAGAAATGTTGATAATCTTGAGTAATGAAGAAATTTTATAAATTGATTTATTAAAGTATAATTTGTTTAAATACGAATTTATATCATAATATAGCTACTGTTTAATATTTTATTTTAAACAGGCTTTCGTGATGTTTTGTTAAGTAACTGATAGGCCTAAACTCCCTTGAACTGTTAAAGACTAAAATAATACTAAACATATGGTATTAATTTCTTAAAAAACACAGTAAATAAATTTAAAAATCCAGAAGTAATATATATAAAATATATTTTTATTTTTTATTTATTTTTTTTTTTTCGTTTTTCAATGGAAAAACGAAAAAAGCTCGTGCAAGTTCGTGGAAAAAACTTAAAATTTGGCAGAATTTTAGCAAATTTAAAGATTCTAACTGATATAAATACAGTATATAATAAGTTTGATATTTAAGTTGTTGCTGAGACTACATAACAGTCCCTTTAGAAAAAGATTGATTTGAAGAGAACTTTAGAATCTGGAGCACGTTATGATGTATCTATTTCGGTCAATTAGGAACCGAGCATATTATGATAAAAATATAACTTTATTTTTTTCGTACCCTTTCGGTGTTCTTTGAGAAAGGAAGTGCAACATGTAAGCAACATGACTTTACTATTGTTTGCCTTGATTGGGTGCAGCTGATCTGAACATGCGGTTCTCTGATTGACACTTTGGCTCTGATACAATGCTTCACAGAAATAGATCTTCCTACACTCTGTTCCCTTTACTCAACTTAACCAACTCCAGAATATGAAGAAAACTTTCCAATGCTTAATATTTGAAGTCTAAGAGCTTTTTTTAGGTCCTTAATTTATTAAATTTCATCTATCTTGCCAGTAGTTGTAACGAGTTTTAATCCTCGTCTATTGCAAAGTTTCGGAGCATATAAAAGAGATTCGTTTATCTTTTGCGTATTTTTCACTTAAATATTATGTTCTAAATCATTATTATAATAAGATTTTAATTTTTAAAAGAAATTATAAATATAATAGCAATATTTCGAACTTTATAGATATTTTCTCGGAAGAGAAACGAGGGAAAAATTACGAATAAGTAATGTTACGCAATTCT